CTACTAAAAATGAATGAACTTCACTAGCAAACATGACAAAATGGACCAAAGAAAAAAAAAACAAAAAAAAAAAAAAAAATTAAGTTAAAAAAGAACAATCAAAAAAATAAATTTTGTTAGTGCCAATTTTCATTTTTTAAAGTTTTTACAACAATCAAAATTATATATGGTAGATGCTTATGTAGATACGGGTTTTATATGTTTTTGTTTCTCGTTTCCTTTCTTATTTTTTAGATCATTAACATTATAACATTTAAAGAATTTATTAAAAATATGGTATTCTTTATGTTTTATGATAATTTTATATTACGTTTCAATTATTAACAATTTTTAATGGTTTTCTTCTCTTAACAAGAACTATAAAATTTTTTAGAACGTGGCATAATAAAAAAAAAAAATATTTATATAAATAAAATGAAAAAAAAAAAATATAGTACGCAATTTTAAACCATTTAGATCTGAATTTAGTTAAATTTTATATAAAATGGAATGAATTTATTTTTTTGTATTTATCTTTTATATATATATTTTTTTTTTTTGCTTTCAATTGTTCTTCACATCAATAAGTAAGTAATATAGACATGAGATGAGAAAATTTTCAAAGAATATAAATACTCTCACTTGTTGCTTCATGGATAACGTAGGATCTGTTTATTATTAGTTTTTTCTTCTTTTTTCTTTTCGTATATGACTCTCTGCTTTGCCTCTTCCTCTTTTCCTTAGTCTTTTTTAATTGTTTGTCTTTATTTATTTATTTCTTTTTTTTTTTTTTTTTTGCTTTGATATTGTTTCTATTACTTTGCATTTAATTTAACACGATATTGACTTTTCTTCTTTTTGCTTTTGTCAATGTCTTTTTCAACTTTTTCGACTTTTTCAATTATTTCTTTAACATCTGTATAAATTATATTTAAAAAAAAATTACAAAATTATTAAAAAAAGAAATTCATTTTTAGCGGTTATCATTTCATATTCATCTATCACACATTACTGTCTGTGCCTACCGCACCCGTAAATGAAAACGGTTGAGCGTTGTTAATGATACCAGCACGATCACTAGTTGTTGTAGTTGTCATATTCGGTGCTACAGTCACTCCGGTTATACCCGAATTAACGGCCGCTTGACGCATTTCATCCATGGAAGCTCTATTTTAAAAATAAAAATATACGACGACATTTCAATTTAATTCAAGGTCCCAATAAAAGACAATATGAAATTAAATTCATTTTGTAAGTATGTGTTCACGTTCATTTTGAAAATGGTCTAAGTCCATTCTCTCAACAAATCAAGCTGGGTACTCTATTTACTCATTCATTTAAAAATGTTTTATAACTACTACTATATATATATATATTATAAATTGTGTGAATGAAAAAAATTGAATATATTATATCTACAAATGAAGGGAAAAATATTTCAATTCTAAATTATATGAATAATTTAGGCCCGTTTCGTAATAAATTGCCCCCATATAATTTGTATAAAAATCCAAAGGTATCTACGCATGCAAAAATAACATATGTATGTATGTATGTATGTATGTAT